TTCAGACCAGGTTCGTCTAGAGCAGCCATTCCCAAACTCAGTAACACCGAGGCCCCCTTAAAAATCTGACGGGTCTGCGTGGCCCCCCAAAATAATAACCAAGAAGACAACATTAAGAATAGGCTCTTCTGGTTATTTTATTTTGGGGAAATAGCCTCTGCTACAAACATTGTAATACAAAAATGATTACAGTGGATTATTCAAGTCAAATAATGAACACAAATATTTTAATATTACAAACAAAACATTATAAATGTAACATTAAATAATTATATTATATATATATTTTTTTTTATGACTTCCCGCGGCCCCCCTGCAGTACCCTCGCGGCCCACCAGGGGGCCGCGGACCCCACTTTGGGAGACACTGGTCTAGAGGAGCCAAAGCGAGTGAATAAGAGGCACCAAACAAGTGTTTGCGGTTTAGTTTGTATATATATTGAAGTTTGTCAAAAGTAATTTGCATATGATAATCAGGTATGGTATAATGATACAGGACAGGGTATAATACAATTACTAGGTATCTTATACAATAGATATATTAATACTTTGTATTATAGATGACCAGGTATAATCACTATTATAATATGATATGGATAGAATATATTATATTATATATTAATTATAAATCAAACCAAAATCCCAAATGCAAAACCAAAGAGTCAGTCCAAATCTTAAGACAAAAACAAAACAAATGTTCACCAGGTCTTGGTTTCACAGTTCAATATTCCTCGTTAGAGTTCAGTTCATTAAAGGTTCCAGATTTCTTGGAAAGTTCATATATCCAGGTTCGGAAAACAAAAGGTATCCTACCGCGATACAGCGGGGGTTGGGTAGCTCGCCATCGAAGAGGGGTCAAAGGAGGTACACACACAAAAAAACCTGACCGGTGAGCAGAGGGCAATTTACAGAGTCCGCAAAAGGGATCCTTGTAGAATATGTGAGTGGATCGATAAGTAGAGAGGGGGATGGATCAATGACAATTAAGTCCGCAGGACGAAATATTGGTGTAAAGCGTTAGTTAGGTTTCAAACAGCGCCACAACAGATAGCAGCGTGAGGGGCTGCTGACAGCTATCAATCCTAGCCGAGTGTCAGAGAGGAAGTGACGCGGGGGAGCAGCTCCTATATGAGAAACGGGCCTGCCAAAATAAAAGCGGGGCAGGACGCGGCCTCAGCTAGGGACCTGGGTTACACATGCGGGTCATTTTTGACCCACTTGTGGAAGCTTGGGGTAGTAATACAAAAATGGAATTATATCAAAAACATGTTTTTTGAGGAATACCTGGGAAATGAAATTATCACAATTTCTCATTACAAAGATATTTCAAGAAAACAACCTCACCGGGTAATTTTTGACCTACTTATGCATCTACAGTAAGGGTTAACCGCGTGAAGTGTCTGCGGAATCTTCTTGTGAATGCAATGGAGAGAACTCTGTGAGAGAGAAAGGATGCGTATGCTTTTGGGAAGTGTCCATGATTTCACAGAGAAACTCTGGCCAAAACGTCTGAATGGCGCACACCACATTTGAAGAGTTTTGTGGTGGGACCTCTGAGGCACCCGCTGTGCACTGCCCAAAGAGCCACTGCCCGTGAGCCCGTTCCTACAGATATGCGCATTGCCATCCTCCCTCTGCTACATGCGGACAGGGCAGTGGCTGAGACAGTTTTGAGTGAGACCATCGATGCGTTTATGGGGCTTTAGGCACAAAACTAATGAAAAATGCATTGCTTTGAAGGAGGCAACAAATAGCCATTCATATTTACGCAGTGTAGGGCGCGGGTCACACATTAAAGTGGTTCTCACCCCCGCTCCTCGGAGCTTACGTCACTCACATTTCCTGTTCAAATCTTCCTCTAAATGGGCGTAGCCTGGAGGACTGAAGGGGGCGTGAACGAGACTGGGCCGTTTACATTGCTCTGGGCGGGGGGCTGCTGACGTCAGGTCTTGCTTCAGACGTCAGGTCTTGCTGCCGCGCCAGTGTTGGCGCCAGATTCAAAATTCAAATGTAGTAATACAGGTCGCCAGCAGATGGCGCCTCACAGACGGTTTTAGGCAGAAAGTTTAACTTTCAACTAATTTGCACCAAAGTGACAAAATTATGACCAGGATATGTAGACAACACTATTGGACACGCATTTATATCGTTTATCAGCAAAAAAAAAGTGGATTTGAGGGTGAGTTGTCCTTTAAGTAAGTAAGTAAGTCAAGTGTATTTGTATAGCGCCTTTCACAGACCAGGATCACAAATTGCTTCACATTTTAAAAAAACATACAGATGAAAATAATACACAAACAACTCAGATTTAAAAACGGAGAAACAGAAGAGGGTCCTTATCATGATCTGTGATTTAATCGAAATTTACTTGTGCAGTATCAATTATATAATAATATAAATACATAACTCATGAAGTATAGTACTGCTGCTGGAGCAACACACTCATGCAATGAGTGTGTTGCTCCAGCAGCAGAACTATAGTTTTATGCACTTTTGCACTTATATTGCGAAAAGATGAAGCACAAACCACAAAATATGAAACTCTAAGATAGTTTGCTTTAAATCACTAGTTTTCAAAAGAATATATTTATGACCTGGGAAGTCTTTAGATTATCTATTTTACATAGAAACCTGACAAAGTGAGAACCACCCTCAGCCAATCAGCTTTCACCCTAAATAGTAAAACAGTGGTGCACAGGGCAGGGACAAGAATGCAAAACTAAAACATGTTTCCTAAGATGAACACAGCACTTGTCTGGTGTTTCTCATATTGTAAGTGTCACTTAGAAACTCTCACACCAAGTTTACTGTCAACTTTAACCACGCACGCCCTCCTGACGCTTTTTGTTGCTTCTATTGAAGCTGCAGAATCAGAACTTGTAGAACAGCTGTCAGGATTGCGTGCGTGTGTGACAGTGTTTGAGCCACGATCAGCCGCAGCCCGTGCGTAAAAGACGCGGAGGATGAAAACGGCTCGGGCACACAGACTGCTTTTGACATCGTTGTTTTGCTGAGAGTAATATGCTGCACATTAGATCTCAAAGTCATCAAAGACACAGCGCGCGTGCATCTTCTTGTCAGGGGCGCGTTGCTAAGGTCATCTGTTGCTAAGGGCATCTTTTAAAACTGTGCATCTTTTGAATCAGTGCATATGCGCAAAACTTTGGCTGCGACACAAACACATTTGGTGAAACTTCACTCGACGATATCTTCCTCCAGGAGACATCACTGCTTACCACTGACTCTCAGACCGCTCCTGAACACCCGCTGACCACCTGCTGACCCCTTCTGTCCGGTTTGTGAGACTCTTGACCACAAAACGTGAGCTTTCCACTTTCCCTGTTTAGTCTATATGGGTTTGGCCCGTGTTACTCAGACACAGTGACTTGGACATAGTTAAAGCAGGTTTATGTGAGTTTAGACTTACATATTAGTGCTCTTGTGCTGTCAGCTCCTGCACGTGCATCATAAAATATCAATGATACAATAATTAACAACCATTACTACAACTGATATCTGCTGCTGTGACCCGTCCTGCTCCACCCAGGGGCTACTCCATCTCTGCTGCTGTGACCTGACTATTACTAATGTTAGCTATCAATTTTAAAAAGTATATATCTATCTATCTGACACTCATTTAAAGTGATGTAGCTTTCACATCATGTATTTTTGGCCTGCTTTTTCAGACAGAACCTGAGAAAGAGAGGACTCAGCCAATCAGCTCTCAAAGTCAAATAGTGGCTCACAGGGGTCTTTCTTACAATATGCAAAAGAAAACATGTTTCTTAAGATAAACAGCTTATTATTGTCTCATTTGTTCTCCCTCTGTTGAGACAAACATATTGTTCATGGGGTAAAAAGTTAAGTCCCCTAGCTTTAATTACAAAGATGACTTAAAGAAATGTGCCTCTTTAGAGCACAGCTTTAATTGTCTTTTTATCATTTTGTTAAATGACACGAGTCAAACAGCTGGCTCTAACTTATGGGTCCGTCACTGTAAGAAAAATCTTTTGTATATTTGGATTGATTTAACAAATACATTTATTTGACAGGATGTAAAAGTATGAAAGAGATGAAGACTGAATATGAAATCATAATAAAGCTGGGGTTCCTCACTTTGTTTTTCTGAAAAAGTAACATTTTGTGAACAAATCAGACCACACCATGGTTGATCAGAAAACACGTTCTGTAGAACCATTTTCCAATGACCACAAAACGTGAACACATCTGTGGTAAGAAAGGCAGAAAAAACAAAATAAATCAGGACAACAAAGTGATGCATGTGTTGCCTTAAAGCTGGGGTACCTAACTTCCAATCCACTAAAGCAAGTGTCCCTTGCAGTTTTCACATCATGTATTTTTGGCCTCTGTGACATCTTTCGATCAGAAAAAGTGAAAAACAGTGGCCCACCCTCACTCAGCCAATCAGCTCTCAGCCCAAAGGGTCAAATAGTGACTCACAGGGCTCTTTCTGACAAGTATGAGTCTTATCAAAGGTACAACAGCATGTTGAGGTCTGGTATTATTCATGAAAACAATAATGTGAAAACCACTGGTAGAGCTCGCTATGTGGACGTACAGAGTTCCATTTATTGTGCTTTGAAAGTTACGTACCCCAGCTTTAGCTCATCAGTTATATGTTCTCCGAATTCAATGTTTGCAGTCATGATTGACATGTTCTGTTCCTCCTCCACAGATCCTTTTGCTCCTTCTCCCCAGACCTCCAGACCCCCAGACCCTGTGCACAGGACTAAGCTAAGTCCTCCCACACTCTCACTATGCCTGGCTCCTTCTTCTCTCGGTCTTTCTCTGCTCCTGCTGTTTCTTGGCTCCGCTCTCTTCACCCTGGCAGGCTCTTCTCTCGTCGTCCTCCTTCTCCTCTTCGCTCTGCTCCTCCTGACTCCGTCCCTCCTCCTCCTCCCTCTCCTCCCTCTCTTCCTCCTCTTACTCGTCGCTCCTTGCTCCCTACTCTGCTCCTCCTCTCTCTTCCTCCTCCTCACTCTACTCCTCCTCCTCCTCGCTCTGCTCCTCCTCCACCTCCTCCTCCTCGCTCTGCTCCTCCTCCTCTTCCTCCTCACTCTGCTCCTCCTCGCTCTGCTCCTCCTCCTCTTCCTCCTCGCTCTGCTCCTCCTCCTCGCTCTGCTCCTCCTCCTCTTCCTCCTCGCTCTGCTCCTCCTCCTCTTCCTCCTCGCTCTGCTCCTCCTCCTCTTCCTCCTCGCTCTGCTCCTCCTCGCTCTGCTCCTCCTCCTCTTCCTCCTCGCTCTGCTCCTCCTCCTCGCTCTGCTCCTCCTCTTCGCTCTGCTCCTCCTCGCTCTGCTCCTCCTCCTCTTCCTCTTTGCTCTGCTCCTCCTCCACTTCCTCCTCGCTCTGCTCCTCCTCCTCTTCCTCCTCGCTCTGCTCCTCCTCCTTCCCACAGTTGATGTGTCACTGTAAATATTTACATAATTGGATCCAAGTTTGATCCCTTTAAAAAACAGAAAAAAACAAAAAAAAAGTATGTTTGTTACTGTTACGTTTTGCCGGATCCTCGTTTGATCCCTTTTTATAAATAGTTTGTTGGTGTTATTATTGTTGTGTTGTAAAATGTTTGATCCCTGTTGGATCCTTTAAAAAACAAAAAAACACTTTTGTTACTGTTGCAGGATCCTTGTTTGATCCCCTTTTAAGTTTGTTACTATTATATTTAGCGGCTACTCCACCTCTGCTGCTGTGACCTGTCCTCCACCACCCAGCGGCTGCACCACCTCTGCTGCTGTGACCTGTCCTGCTCCACCCAGCGGCTACTCCACCTCTGCTGCTGTGACCTGTCCTCCACCACCCAGCGGCTGCACCACCTCTGCTGCTGTGACCTGTCCTCCTCCACCCAGCGGCTGCACCACCTCTGCTGCTGTGACCTGTCCTCCTCCACCCAGCGGCTTCTCCACCTCTGCTGCTGTGACCTGTCCTCCACCACCCAGCGGCTACTCCACCTCTGCTGCTGTGACCTGTCCTCCACCACCCAGCGGCTGCACCACCTCTGCTGCTGTGACCTGTCCTCCTCCACCCAGCGGCTTCTCCACCTTTGCTGCTGTGACCTGTCCTCCACCACCCAGCGGCTGCACCACCTCTGCTGCTGTGACCTGTCCTCCACCACCCAGCGGCTGCACCACCTTTGCTGCTGTGACCTGTCCTCCACCACCCAGCGGCTGCTCCACCTCTGCTGCTGTGACTTGTCCTCCACCACCCAGCGGCTACTCCACCTCTGCTGCTGTGACCTGTCCTCCACCACCCAGCGGCTACTCCACCTCTGCTGCTGTGACCTGTCCTCCACCACCCAGCGGCTACTCCACCTCTGCTGCTGTGACCTGTTCTCCTCCACCCAGCGGCTGCACGTAGCTATCAATCTATCCATTTGCTGTTTTCTTCATTGTTGGATCCCGTTTGGATCCCTTCGAAAAGCCCCAAAAAACAAAATATTCTGTGCTCTCTCTGGTGTGGAAATGTCATTTTGTGCCTCTTATATTTGTGGTCTAGCTTTGATTCACAGGTTTGCTGTTTGTGAGTAAAAAGAGAAAAGACACGACTGGTGAGTACAGCGGGTTAAATAGTTATTGTCACATTACTTTACACGACTTCCTATTTTTAGATGAAAAGGAGAAAAAAGAAATACACAGTGCAGGTATCGCAAAGACTTAAATGTTTTTCTTTGGCCAGTGAAGTGATGACTTCAGACAGTGGAGAGACGGAGTGGAGGAGGAGGGTTATCCCCATGTGTTCGAACCAAATACAGGTAAATCTTTGGAGCAACATTTCATTTGTCTCTTGAAGTGTGCCCCGCTCCAATGCTTTGTGCTCTTATTTATAGGAGAATGTCAGATAATACCAAGCAGATGTCACAAAGGCTGCCGGTTATTTGAAGGTGCACCGGTGTTGAGATTTCATTTACTGCCTTTAATGTATGTGGTATATGGCTTTGATTCACAGGTTTCTTACCTCCAAGTTCTGTCTTTGGGCTTAAAAAGGGACAAGGACAATAATGTGAGTATAGAGGGTTAAGTAAAGTTATTCTGCTTTGTTTTTAGATGGAGCTGTAGCACAACATTGATGAAGTAACAAACACAAAATACACAGTGCAGGTGATGAAGTGCAGTGAAGTGTCTGTTATTTACCAGTCTGTGGAATACATGAGTGCAGACAGTGGAGAGACGGAGTGGAGGAGGAGGGTTATACCATGTGTTCATGAATCAAATACAGGTAAATCATCAAATGAACATGTCATGTGTCCCTCCTCCCACTTCAATGCATGTTTGTCTTATTCAGGGCAGACTGCAAAAAACATCAACACATTTAACAGTTGTGATGCCACACATCGGACAGATGCCAGAGCAGAAGCCATCAATACACCAGAGGGAAGACCAGATTTGTCAAAAAAGGGAAAGTGACCAGAGCATGCATGTGAGACAGTGGAGGGATGGAGTGGAGGAGGAGGGTTGAAGCATGTGTTCTCATCAAATACAGGTAAATCATCATATGGACAGTTTGGTGTGTCACAAAAGACGAGGTCTAAGATTTGGGTTTACAATACTGTGGATACTTCAACAGATGCCAGTAAAAAGTCAGATGCGAGACCAGTTGCCCCAACGGCCAGGCTGAAGAACACATGTTACTAGTAAGAACAAATGTCAGACCAGATGCCACAAACCAGCTGTGAGAAAGACCAAAGTGATCAGGGCAGTGTGAGGCAGTGTGAGGCAGTGGAGAGACGGTGTGGAGGAGGAGGGTTGTAGCATGTGTTCATGTCAAAAAAAGGTAAATCATCAAGGACTGATTCATGTGTTTATCCTCCCGCTTCATATTATTGTTGTGCTTTTCACAGGACACAGCAGTGAACAGGTCTCACAAAAACTATAGATACCAGACAAGGTCCCAGACTCCGGGCCAGATGTTGCAAAACATGAAAGACGCCGCTCAGATGTCACAAAAAACACATAGATGCCACAAAATCTGACAGATGCCAGACAAAGTTCCAGAGTGGACCACATGGATGACATATGCCACAGCAGATGCATATGTGGAAGCCATAAATATGTACACCACAGACTGTGTGCTTTGGCACATGTGACGAGCAGAAATAAACTTTCATGAAGGGAATTTAAGTTTGTGTTTTTTTGAGCACACACATTATTTGACATGTTTTAATATGATTTCAACTGTACTTCATTATACACATATGTCTACATTCATACAAGAGGTCTATATTACCATTTCAAACATATCATAAGGGAATCATTAAAGAGACAAATATTGGATACATTTTCATGTTTTAAAGCCAAGTGGCTGTAGAAGTAGGGGTGTGCTAACAAGAGTATGTTCCATCTTAACTTATGATCTTCTATGTTCTGTTGTAGTAGCATCAGGGACAAAATCAAACAGATGATTGAAAAAGAAAAGATGAAACAAAAAATGAGGTGCTTCAGCTTTAAAAGCCTTCGTTGGTTCAGACCTGGTTCAGAACTGAGCTGAGAGCTGCAGCTAACGGATTTATGCATAAAGACGTGGGAAGTACACCTCTGTCGCACCGAGGGGTGGTTACCACGGGCGACTGCCACTGCATTGATGACCTCTGTTTTAAACATTCGGGGCCCTCTCTACAATCATTGGGACCCTTTGCACGTTCACAAACAAGATGACGCTGACAGTGGAGTTTGTTATTGTCCGTCTTTGTTAAGTTTATCATTTGCAGAGTGTTTTTTGGACCTCGTGGATGTTCTTTGTATGCATTATAAAAAAGACCACACACACACATAAATATAGAGCCACGAAGATATAGATACCTGTGGTAAATCAGGTCAGAATAGGACTGTGAATAAATGTTTAGCTATACACTGAAGTGAGACGGACAAGTCCCACCAAACATCAGAGGAGCAGGATGACCATAGTCTTCATCATTCAGTTGTGTTTTTTCAGCAGCCCTTCAGAATAACACGTGTCCGCGTTCTCATATACTTTTTCTATGTTTATAGATGTGGGCTTTACAGTGGAGCGTAGGCGAGTGATTGGTTAAGACGTCTAGTAACATACAACCACATTGACTAGCACCCTCCTGTCCCTCACCTCCTCCAGAGTCCAGGGGCCTCCTGTCCTCACCACTTCCACAGAGTCAGGGAGCAGCCCAGAGCAGAGCCGGCCCTCCTGACCAGCTTGTTCTACTCCTGTCTCACTCTGTGCTGCCCAGGGCCAAGCACACAGCAGCGTAGTAAATGGCAGAGGCTACCAGAGTCATAAAAGGTCCTGAGCAGAGGCCTGCTCACTCCGAAGGACCTCAGCCTCCTCAGAAGGAAGAGGCGACTTTGGCCCTTCTTGTGCAGGGCGTTGGTGTTGTGGGTCCAGTCCAGTTTATTGTTAATGTGAACACCCAGGTACTTGAAGCTGTCCACCAGCTCAATGTCCTCCCCCTGGATGTTCAGCAGCGTGTGGGAAAGTGGTTCTGTCACTGACCATCTCCTTTCCTTAGATGAACACAGCACAAGTTACAGACATTAGGAATGAGGGGCACACAGCAGAAGTTAAAGGAATAATAACTCTATACTAAAATAAAATGAAATCTCTATGTCTAGCATAAAAAGAAGTAGTATGAAATCTCTTTCTTTAGCATAATTTGTAGAAAGTTGTGAATTGTTGTAAGTAACCATTCCTTTGATAATCAATGAGATTATCCTTTCGATTAAGAGTAGTTGTTGAGAATGTAAATAGGATTAAAATGATGATCCAGATGAAGTGATGTCACCAGAAGAATATTCAAACAGATGTTTTACAAGTTTTATCATAAAATCAAGACATTTAAGAGATCCTTTATTTGTCCCACAGTGGGAGAAATTCACAGTTGCATCACAGGTCACAGAAGAGTTGGAATTGTCATGATTCTATTTTCATTTACTTTGAAATGACCTGACTGTGATTTATAAACTGGATAGAACACTGTAACCTATGATCGTCATGCAGTACAAGTTACATCTTTATTCATTGACCTTTGAATTAACCAGGAGTCCCACTGAGATTGTTATGGGGAACTGTAGTACATGTTTCGGAGCACCTGGAGGAAACTTACGCAGACATGGGGAGAACATGCAAACTCCCCACAGAAAGGCAGTGTCATAGGCGTCCACTTTGTTTTTTTTTACTGTAAATGTTTGTGGGGTTCACATGTGCCTCTTTTATTCAATAATCAGTACAACCTCTTACTTAATGACGCTATTATATGGAGGTAGATTTTATTCACATTTTTTTGACACTGATATATTGTAAGTATGTTTTTTGCGTTTACATTATTTTTTCAGCAATCAATACTAAAGTATATAAACATGTTCTTTTAATGAGATTTTTTTTTTTAAAGAAGCTAACAGCAGAAGCAACACTATCTTCTCTACATGTTTTGTCTTATTAAAATAACTAGGGCTTAAACATAAGATGAGAAAATTAAGTTTACATTCAATTTTGCATGTGGAACTCACGGATCCATGTTTCAGAATCATTTGAATGTAATCTTTTGCTTCTGTTGTTACTCACTGAAACACAGGAGGGCGCCAGAGAGCCACAAAGACACAGTATTGCAAGGCATTGAGATATTGTCATGTAAACCATTTCAATGTATATGGTAGCCTCAAAATTAGGGTTAATTTACAATTTGGAAAATTAATGAATCTTTTCTCGTGTGGAACAGATGGCGTACTCTGCACACATCAATTTGCATATCACTTGAACACAAAACTACTTTCCACCGGTGCGGCTCTCAGCTCCCACATAATGGACCATAATGTATCTTTGAAGTGCCACAGAACGCACCATTCTTCGGCTAATAGTCTTTCAATAGAATCTCGTCATTACTTAATCCCATGTGATCTATTTTTCTCTGCAAGACACAACAGCAAAGCAGCACATTCGCCCAAAGCCTCGGCCTCATACTTCAAAATACATTTAGGTCAAAACAATTCTGCGAAATAATAGACAGCCTTTTATAAAAATCTCAATGGGGACTCCTTGATAGACTTTTAGTGGACGCTGGTGTTTAGAGCCAGGAGTGCAATAGCCTCAAAACAGGGAAATGGGATGTATTCAGATATGTTCTTTTCTCGATGGAAGACAGGGGCAACGTGTGGTTTAAAAAGCTACTCAAGACGTGCAGAGCTTTCCGCTTTTACTTCAGAATCCAGTGCACTTCACATGAAAGGGCAATCAAATAATGCTGTTTCAAAGTGTCGAATGTGTGACGAATGAGCTGACGCAGACTATGTATGAGTGAGGAACAAGTGTGTGCTTTCAAATGGGTTTTTGTATTGTATTGTGCTGTCAAATTGTTGTGGATATTTGTTGTCATTATTGGTCATTGTAGTCTGAGGTAATGAGTGCACTGTTTCCTTATTATAGTGTGATATAGTGCTGTCTGATGCTAAAGTTTGAGATTATAGATTGCTCCCTTAGTTTTTATTTCATATCATTTTATTTATTAAAGAGGTATTGTTCATTTAGCTTGTGCCGTGTGCGCCTCTCTCCTACTGATCTGTAACCGGTGATGCAATTTCCCCACTGTGTAACGAATTAAGGATCTACTAATCTTAATCATAATCTTCTACTTTTAAACATAAATAATATAAGGGACATAATTGTTGGCCTTTACAGCATTTATTTGCCTTAATATTGTCATCATTATAGAGTATGACTTCACCTGTAGTTTTGCTTTTCACTTGTTTTTCCTATTGTTAGGTTTCTTTGTGTTTCTTAGTTTATTAATATCTGCAGTTGTTAGTCAAAAATAACTAAACAATTATTGCAGATCAAAATGTGACAATTATACTAAGCAAAAGGATAAGGCTGAAGTTTGTCACTATATAAAGCCTAATCCCATGACTGTTTCATAGTCCTGGATCTACAGCCTCAGTCCTGGATCTACAGCCTCAGTCCTGGATCTACAGCCTCAGTCCTGGATCTACAGCCTCAGTCCTGGATCTACAGCCTCAGTCCTGGATCTACAGCCTCAGTCCTGGATCTACAGCTTCAGTCAGATCTACAGCCTCAGTCCTGGATCTAAAGAAGTGGATCCCTGTCTCAGTGGTTCTCCCTGAGATGTCTCTGTCTTTTCTCACACTGGGTTTTTGACTTGCCAATGCAGTAGGGTATTTAGGACTTTTATCATATTATCATAATGTATTTTATGTGTTATATAATTTGTTTTCTTTGTGTTCTAATTGTTCCATTTCCAAAAAGAATTAACTACTCAGCCACATTCCTCTCGACGGCTGCTTCCAAAACTGCTTTTATTGGAGAACAGGCTGAAGACCTCTCAGCTAAAACTGACCCACACTAATAATCGTCTGCTGATAAAAAAAACAATGTTTCATCTTGAACTTGAAATGTTAGTACTGTCACCACACCGCACAAGAGCCAAAAACTCCAACTAAAAATATATTATATGGTATATTATCTTTTCTAGTTGGAGTTTCTCTACACTGCAGCAGACACACAGAGAGAGAGAGAGAGAGAGAGAGAGAGAGAGAGAGAGAGAGAGAGAGAGAGAGAGAGAGAGAGAGAGAGAGAGAGAGAGAGAGAGAGAGAGAGAGAGAGAGAGAGAGAGAGAGAGAGAGAGAGAGAGAGAGAGAGAGAGAGAGAGAGAGAGAGATAGAGAGAGAGACGCACACACACACACACACACACACACCCATGCCAGTGTCACTTCATACAACTCTATAGGTCATTGCAGTACCGCAGAGCACAGCGGGAGGGCACTGTTGCTGTTCCCAGTCGTCTGCCTTTGCCCAGTTTGCATTTGCCCCTCTAAACACGCCATGAAATAGTCTGGGATTGGATATCTTTGTACTTTAACTGTCACCATTTCAAATCTGAAGCATGCCAAGAAGTGACTGACAGAATACAGTGAGGACTGGGTGGTATGCGCTCCTGTGAAATGACTGGCCTGTATAGAGTTCTAATCCTCTTTAAGGCTCCTATCCATCGCTAAATGAATATCTAGGGGCCACATAGTAGTTTGTACACAAGCTACCTCTTCTGGCACCCGCATCAAATTATTCAGTGGAAAATAAGATTAATAGTTCTGCTGAGAAACATGCTGGAGGTCAATTGTTGGGGAAGATTTTGTTGATAGACTCATTAGACTTAAAGGCAATCCAAGGACGAGCGACGGGAATGTGTATGTGTAGTGGATTAATTGGCATTACAGGTCAACATGTGATCAAATGCAAAGAGATGCTATCCAGGCAAAGCGCTAAGAAGTACATGCCGTATAAGGGAGAGACGATTCATCATTACATCAGTTTAAATAGGTCGGTTCTAATTAGTAATTAGACTCTTGTATCATTAGAGATGGAAATTAGAAGTACAAAACAGAGCCGGAGGCAACACTACTGATGACTATATATGAGAGTTCTTAACTCCAGCTATAGCCTTTGATATTGTCAAATGTAAAGCTCTCTGTAATATCAGTAAACATAAGCAGAAAGAGCTACAGTATATCTTTTACTGACATAACACTTTTTAAAACTAAAAAGTCTATTTAAGTAAAAGGAAAATTTAGTATGTAATCATTATTTATACAGCTGCTTTCAGAGTCAAAAAGCGCAGTATAATTGTTGTGCCCAGTGAACAGGAGGTGCATGCCAGACCTACAGTATGGTACATGTTTTAGTGGTAGGGGAAACCAAAGCAGCAAGGAGCAATCCTACGCAGACACGGGAAGAACATGCAAACCCCACACATAAAGGCCCGATCTGGAGGTGGAATCAACCCAAAGACTTTCTTGCTGTGAAGTGCTAACCACTGCGCCACAGGACTTTAGGAGATTGTATCGACGGGCTTTGAAGCAGAAACCTCCAGACTTCTGAGTAACAATTATGGAAATGTATTTATATATCCTAATATAATGTTCAGTAATGTTAAAACTCATTTTTGAATGTGTGAATTTAGTTGAAAACCATTAGATCTAGTTATCTTTGTCATAAAATAGTGAGTCTTATCTCACTTATGTAGACATTCCAGCTCATATGGAGGAGCAATCAGAACATCAATAAACATGTCCTTCTCCACATGGTTTCTTCTTAGTAATAACCACATGGTATTGACCTCCATTGACAAAGGAGAGGACACACAGAAAAAGTCCAGCTGACAATCCCTCCATATGAGTATAATTGGTCAGTAGGAGGACTGAATGAACAAAGAGAGTAGAATTACGAGCTCTCTCAGTTACAGTAACTAACACAATCAGATTTAATATAAACAAATTTATCATATTGCACATCTTTTTATTTTTGTTTAAGGTTGTCTGTCTTGTAAGAGCCTATGTATGGCTTAAACTTAAAGCTGAAGTCCCCAACTTTTTCCTGTTTCATTAATACCATACTTTTTGCAGGTTTCATGTTGCAATGTAGCAGATGGACTGTTGTAATTGGTCACAACATGATTTAATGACAAGGTGTTTAAGAACTTAGCCGTCCCATAGCTTCTAAAACTTGGTGGATTCAAAAAAATGTGTCCGTAAACTTTGTTCTCACAACAGCCCAACTCTACCACAATAAAAATACCTAAAAAAAAAGTAGCTGCTTAGAGTCCACAATATACGGTACATGTTGTTTTTCCTAAGGACAGTGGTGATGATCCAGGACACTCCAAACAAATGAGACCACATGGTGTTAAACAATTTATCATTTACATACTGTGACCTGGTCTGAGTGAGGAACACAGGCCAAGAATACATGTACGTGAAGACTGTTTTGAGAGTTAGAAACTAGTCACATGGTTTGTATTAAACATAGATTTGTGTGTGTGTGTGTGTGTGTGTGTGGTTACAAAGTTGGCTACTCCAGCTTTAAATGAATAGAAATTCTTAATACTATACGTTTGTTGATATGAAAGCAAGTAGGATTTCAAATTTCTTCAATTATGAAATTCAAACCATAATTCAAAGCAATTAACTCACGTGCAATAACTTATAAAGCATGTCACAATTGTCTTAAAATATAAAACCACAAACACTCTTTTTATGTTCAACTGTTCTCCCACAACAAAACTGTATACTGTTTACTCTGCCATGCCCCAATCAGAACACAAGCTAGTGATTCTTTCTTGGGTGATCCCCGCCCACCTCTCTGGCAGCTTACCCATTTACATTTGAGCATAATGCCGGCATTAGGAGAGGCACAAGGCACAAGCCCTGATAAGTTACAAAGTGCTCCAGGGGTAAACCTCGTAAGAGAGAGTTTGGAGTTATTTACAGCGTTCAAATCCTTCAACAAAATTCATGTCTGGGGGATGAGATTGGTTTTGCAGTGGATGTTGCACACACAAAGCAAAGACACAATGCTTACGAAGGATGTTTAGCCGCAAAATGACCAGACTGCGTTAATTGCGAGTGATTGATTTCATCCTATGTTTGTGACCAAGGCAAAATGTTCACTAACAACAGCCATGTCAACTCATTAAACCATAAAACAAGAACGACTTTCAATTTGATTTTCAATGAAGAAATACTTAAGTTTGTTTGGCATTTTCTATACAAAGATATGTTTGGATTGTGGAGCCCTCATAATGAGAGCACTCAGAAATTGCAAAACCTACAAAGGAGGTGAAAAGCAATGGAATTTGTCCTTATCACCAATGCTTTCTGTACAGTTGTTCCATTTGAAATGCATTTAATTGCAAATAGAAAAGAAAAAGGGAGTACAATGAAGAAAGCTGAAGCAGTTTTCTCGTGTGCTTTGAGAGAGCGCATTCAAATCTGAAAAAGGCAGACAATAAAGGAGAGGAATCGTGCTCTGAATAGCCACGCTCTTTTCATTCCCAGGCCAATCCACACAGGCTGCATCTTCTCTAACGTGCAGGGCGGGTTTCCGGGACGACTCAAGCTTGTGCGTGTGCGGAGACAAGCAGAGTTCGCTGTCACTGATCAGCATCGTCAGAGGACAAGTACAAAAACCATGATCAGGAGCAGCAGCTGATCTCAGGTCTGTGCTGTACACACACGGCCCTAACCCTGAGACCTTACTAGTCTCATCAGGAGGGGAGGGGGAGTGCAGGGGCCAAAGGGGGGGGGGGTCTGGGTCCTTTGTTGGAGCAGATCTGCTGACAGTCTCATGGGAGCAGAGGAAGTTGGAGCAAGAAAGTGCACCCTTCAAACTTTCCAGTGCAGCTGAGAATTCTATTTTTTTCTTAACAAAGATTTATACATATTTATACAAGCCCAAATACAGATAGGAAGGTGCAAGGGAAAAATCTTGGAACTGCAGAGGTAAACTATATGTAAATGCCATAAAGTAATAGACTTGTAGTGCAAATCACACCATTTTATCTTTAATTTTGCTTTCGTACCCTCCTCACCTCCCCCCATCCTCTTTCCTCTGGCTTAAAGGTGCATCAGAGATATGCATTTAAGCATATTCAGAACACGGGGCGTGAAATTAAATGTGTGGCAGAGTGAGAAAAATATACAGACGCTGGAGATGCCTTAAAAATAGTCATTTATGCAGATGGAGAGGAGTCAAATCATTTGCAATGGGATGACCCTCTCTCCAAGCATTTCTCCCTCACTGTTCTTCCCTAATCTCACACTGTATCTTCATTTTTCATTGAACTCGCCAGTTTGCTGCTAAGCAGCCTTGTAGATAAGGCAAAGTGCTAAAAGGAGACGACAGAAGGAGCTCAGTGGGCCCGTTTCTATTGCACTTTCACCCAAGGCAATGGGCAGAATTTAACGGATTCCTTCCAACATATGTTTTTGCCAGATAAGTAAACAGTGTGTGTCGGAAATGAAAAAAAAGCATTTGCAATTTAATGACATTACAGCTCCCAGCTTAGCCCGCCGTGCTGCGAGGCGAGGAGCAGAAAAAGGGGAGAGCGGAAGAATGGAACCGGGTGTCATCAGGGTTTTTTTTCTTTCGCCTCGCAAGAAGCAGCTCGCAATTCTTCTTATTCTTTTCAAACCCCAGCCTTCTCCAGCCTTCCTGCCATTTTCTTCCTTTGCCATAGTTTCCTCGCCTTTGTCACAATGAAATTATCTATTATTTTATTCAGAAAGCTTGCCCTCCCCTGCCATTCTAGTTTTAACATCAGATTTACCCAGATTTTGGGGCAAAAACACATCAGTCAGCCTTGGGAGTGGTGGTGCGTGTGCTCAGTCAGGGTTGAGACGCGCTCAGCTCTGTGTGACTGCAGCAGAGCTCTGTGGTGCTGTTGTCTTCTCCTGCTCACTCATGTCACAGGAGCAGGAGGTGAGGAGCCAGGACCGGTGTACATGTCAGGGCCACTAAACGCTGCTTCCTCTGAGTGAAAGCCAGTGAATTGCCTGTGTGGCTGGCGGCTGTCAGGCGTCTGCCTTATTATAGAAGGCTAATTGTGCAGGAAAGCAGATTATGAGAGTGCTAGGATGTACTCCTTGACCATGTGCTAATGTGATGACAAGTTTGGGGGACCCTCTAAGCAAAACGACGTTGCACGCCAGGGCACTTTTGGCAGCGGCTATAATCTGCCTTTGGTATTAAGTCGGCACACCGGCTTGTTTGAGTATGGATCAATCGCTCGCTCATTATTTCGACAAGAAAGCTTTATATCCGGGGCTCTTTGCTGGTGTTGATCTCTCATTAAGCATGCTATGTAAATGCACTAGCAATCCGTGTGTAAGGGATACGTCACCCCCGGGGCCCCAGCTCAAACAAGCATGTCAGACACAAGGAGGGCCAAGGAAAATTTGGGTCACTCTCCTTTTGCCAAAACTTGAGTTTCCAGTTTTAGCTCAAAGGCGTAGCGCTTGGCTTTTCTTGG